GCTGGAGAGAGCAGCAGCAGGCGATAGTGGAGTTACATATAGTTACATAGTTACATAGCTTAAAAGAAACTTGCGTCCATTAAGTTCAGCTTTCCTGACATATGTTTTTGCTGTTGATCCAAAAGAAGGCAAAAAACCCAGTCTGAAGCGCTTACAATTTTGCAACAAACTAGGAAAAAATTCCTTCTTGACCCCAAAATAGCAGTCAGATGTCTCCTTGGATCAAGCAGCTATTACCCCACTAATTACAAATTATATCCCTGTATGTTATGTTTTTGCAAGTATTTATCCAATTGCAGTTTAAACATCTGTATAGACTCTGACAAAACTACCTCTTCAGGCAAAGAATTCAATATTCTTATTGCTCATACTGTAAAAAAAAAACTTTTTCTTTGCCTAAGATGAGATCTCCTTTCTTCAAGCCTAAATGTGTGACCTCATGTCCTATGTATAGCCCTGTTTATGAAAAGATTTCCAGATAATGGTTTGTACTGGCCCCAAATATATTTGTATAATGTTATCATATCCCCTCTCAGGTGCCATTTTTCCAAACTAAAGAGATTTACATTTTTTAACCTTTCTTCATAACTAAAATGCTCCATTCCTTTTAACAATTTTGTAGCTCGTCTCTGCACTTTTTCTAGTGCCATGATATCTTTATTTAGAACAGGTGCCCAAAATTGCACAGCATACTCAAGGTGTGGTCTTACCAGCAATTTATAAAGAGGTAAAATTATATTTTCACCTCGAGAATTTATGCCCCTATTTATACATGACAAAACCTTACTGGCCTTAGCAACGGCAGATTGACTTTGCATATTGCTGCCTAATTTGTTGTCTATAACAAGTCTCAAATCCTTCTCGTGTGTGGTTATCCCTAGTTCACTACTATTTAGGGCAGGGGTTCTCAACCTTGTCCTCAAGGACCCCCTACCAGTCCAGGGTTTAGAGATTACCTGGGTGTGTCTAAGGTGTTTAGAAAAAGAAAAAAAAAACACCTTAGAGTCTAAGGTGTTTTTTCCCCCCTTTTTCTAAACACCTTAGACACACCCAGGTAATCCTCAAATCCTGGACTGGTAGGGGGTCCCGAGGACTGGGTTGAGAACCCCTGATTTAGGGTGTAAATTGCTTGTGCATTCTTAACCCCGAAGTGCATAACTTTGCATTTCTCTACGTTAAATTTCATCTGCCATTTCAGTGCCCAGTCCCCCAATCTATCCAAAGCCCTCTGCAGCAAGTCAATATCCTGCTCACATTTTATTAGTTTACAAAGTTTTGTGTCATCTTCAAACACTGATACATGGCTTTCAATGCCCATTTCAAGATCATTTATAAATGTTAAATAGAAGCGGTCCCAAGACAGAACCCTGAGGGACACCACTTACCAAATTTACCATTAATGACAACTCATTGTACTCTATCCTTAAGCCAATGTTCTACCCAAGAACAAGAATATTCATCTAGACCTATTTCTTTTAGTTTGAAGACTTTTGTCTATTTTGTTTGAAGTAGTTTGAAGACTATTGTGAGGAACCGTATCAAATGCCTTGGTAAAATCCAAGTAGATCGCATCCACTACAACACCCTGATCTATACTTCTACTTACTTCTTTGTAGAATGCAATTAGGTTAGTTTGACATGACCTATGTTTCATAAAACCATGCTGATTATTGCTTATAACACAGTTCTTTCCAATGAATTCCTGAATATTATCCCTTAATAGCCGTTCAAATAATTTCCCAGTCACAGAAGTTAAGCTCACAGGTCTATAATTTCCAGGCAAGGATTTTAAACCCTTTTTAAATATAGGAACAACATCTGCCTTCCTCCAATCCTCCGGTACAACACCTGAAACAAAAGAATCTTGAAAAATTAAATACAGAGGTTCACTTATTTCCCCACTTAGCTCCTTATGTACTCGTGGGTGAATACCGTCAGGCCCCGGAGCTTTATTTACATAAAAAATTTTTAATAGCTGTAGCACCTTGTCTCGAGTTATCCAATCACAAGTTATCTGCAAGTTTGTTGCAGCAATCATTTGCTTATCTCTTGGCATAGCTATTTTAGAAGGTATCAATATTATTTTAAAAAATAACTATTTTTGGTTTTTAAACTCTTTATCTCTAAAAAAGAGGAACAGCTATGGGAACTAGGTTTGCTCCCAGCTATGCAAATCTATTTATGGCTGACTGGGAATCTGAAGCTGTTTTTAGTGATCATGCCTGGAGAGCAAACCTGGTTTCATTTTTTTAGATATATTGATGACCTCTTTTTTATTTGGGAAGGTTCTGAAGACGATCTTAACTCTTTTATCACTAATCTTAATACAAATAATAGAGGAATAAACCTCACTCACGAATATAGTATTTTTATAAAAAATGGTAAATTACACACTAAAACGTTTTTTAAAAAGTGTGTGTGAACACTGCCATAGATAAGAGAAGCTGCCACTACCAACCTTGGTTAGACAGCGCTCCGAAGAGCCAAATACTACGACTCTGGAGAAATTGCTCCGAAATAAGTGATTTTAACATACAAGCTAATATATTGAAAGATAAATTCGTTGAGAAAAACTACTCAGAAATGGAACTCGCAAATACCATTAGGGATATTCAAGATAAAGACAGAAATGAACTTCTAAAATATAAACCTAAAATTAAAGACAAATCTATGCCTCTACCTATTATTTTTAATTTTAATAATAAAAGCAACGATGTAAAAATGAATATAAAAAAACACTGGCACATTTTTCAAGACGAAACTCTTAATAAAATCATACCAGAACATCCAAATATAATATTTAGAGGAGCCAAAAATTTTAAATCAATACTAACTAAAAATTTTACCAAAGAAGAGAAAAACACACCCTCTCTATCTTTTTTTCCACAAATTAAAGGTTTCTGCAAATGTAAAATGTGTATAGTTTGTAGAACTACTGACCCTGCTGTTCCCCAGAAAGTTACTCAATTTATGTCAAAACGGTTCTACTAAAAATGTTATATATCTGCTTGAATGCCCCTGTGGCTTCCAATATGTTGGAATGACTACAAGGTGCTTAAAAACGCGCTTAAGCGAGCATTACAGAAACAGATATCTGAATCATTCAGTATCCAAACATTTCATTATACACAATAGAGATCCAAGATTGTTGAAATGTATTGGAATAAAGAAATGCACGATTCCTTGGAGGGGTGGAAATATTAAAAATATTTTAGGTAATATAGAAATGGAATGGGTGTACAGACTTCAAACTCTTACACCACATGGTCTTAATGCAGACTTTAATCTGTTTCATTTTTTATAAATTCTCTTTATTCCAATATTTATTTCTGATGTTCTCAGCTTTGTGTTTGTATACATCTTTTATATATATTTTTATGTATTTTTATAATATCTTTATGTTATTTGGTGATATTTTATATATTTTTAATATATTCTTAGACCTTTTATTCCCTTATGCTTTATGTTCACAATCCGTATTGTGTATTATGTCATCTAACACCCTAGCCGGCCGCAGCTTTGTGCGTGCCGACAGGGCTCCTTTTCGTTGCCATGACGACGGCTGCAGCCTTGTGCTAGCCATCGTCCTTGCTTCCTATTTTGTTTCCATGACGACGGCCACAGCTTTGCGTGTGCCGCCGTCACCAACCCCGCCCCTTCTAGTTACGTCAGCCGCAAGGATTATGCATGCTGACGTTCCTCTCCTATCCCTCATGTAGACGCCGGCGTCTACGCAGTGCGTGCCGGGGTCTAACTACATTTCCCACTATGCACCGCGGCAGTTTGTCGATCACATGACCAGGCATTAAAGGCTTTCAATACAGAATAATATGCCTCGTTTTTTAAGTTTATTTATATTATGAAATTTATAATGCTCAGCAGAATGCATGTATAAATAAATTTACCAGTTGTTTTATTGTTTTAATTATTTTACTTTTATCTCCATTCTGATTGGCTGCTCACATTTTGGCACCAATTTTAAATGATTATAGCTGTTATATAAACCCTCCTATGCCAGGTATCAGGTTCTTACTCCATATTGATCACGCCGTGATGGCGAAACGCGTTTATGGATATTATTTTGTGTATTTTTTATATATTAAAGTATATTTGGTTACTTTTTATTTGTGCCATTTTTCTTTATACACAATTATTTATTTTTTTTACCTGGCATCTTCTCAACATCCTGGACTCCAAGTAATCCTAGGTGGGGATCATACCACCAGCGCTAACGTTTAGGAGCAGTTGGTCTGCTCCTGTCTTGTGAGTACCCATTTTATTTATTTTACCATCAATATTTTACTCAGTGTACACTATTGGCTGTTTCTTCTTATCTGAGTGTTAAATATACCACTGACGGAGGAAGCTCACCTTATATCCCATAAGCGGGGATTAAATCGCTGTACGCTCTTCATACTAGAGCGAGTTTAAGCTCTGATAAATGTGAGTTTTATTTCAGCCTTTTATTATTTTTATCCTTTTATTCTGAAGCATACTGCACTATTTGGTTCTCCACTTTTTTATCTTCTATATACGAGCGGACCCATACAGAGGAGAACAAAAAGCACAATTGTTTTGGATCAAGCACGGATAGATTCTACGACCTCAAAAAGAACATTTTACATAAGACTTTTTATATTCTTCTCATTTTCTCGGACTATTTGTTATTTTTCATATCGAGTTTTCCTTGGCGCAGCCCTTATTTCTTATTCTTTCTCCTTTTCAGTGTTATTTCTAAGAGTTTTTGAGGGATTCCCTTATAGGGTTGCTGCCCACATATTAGTCAGCGCTTACTCTCTGTCTTGTTGTTACCCAGCTATGTGCCTGTTCTCCAATTGTCTCATCTCCTCCCACTCCACTACCTGCACCCACTAAACTCTGCTCAGTGAGCAGCAGACTCCTCTCAAGATTATCAATCTCCCTCAGTGTTGCAATTTGCCTCTCCAGATCTCCAATTCAAGCTTCCAGAAAAGCCACTCACTCACACCCACCACAGAGGTATGGACCCTGGACAGATTTATCCAAGCATGCACGCACGGGTCAGTCGCTCGCACCAGACTTGCCCTCCAATAGATCCTTGATAAAGGAGTTAAAGTGTACTCATTCGAATTACAGGGCCTTGAAAGAGTCCTGTATTGTTATTTATCATCACTACCTCCCCGCGTCGGGCGTGGGTAATTTGCGCGCCTGTTGCCTTCCTTGGATGTGGTAGCCGTTTCTCATGCTCCCTCTCCGGAATCAAACCCTGATTCCCCGTTACCCGTGGTCACCATGGTAGGCGCAAAAAGTACCATCAAAAGTTGATAGGGCAGACATCCGAATGCGTCGTCGCCGTCACGGGGATGTGCGATCAGCCTGAAGTTATCTAGAGTCACCAAAGTACCTGCGCAACGACTGCCGAGTTGCCCACATTCTAACTTGTGCTGATTACTGGATGGCCATCCTGCTTAATTACATCACTAGAGCATGATGGGAAGATGCGTGACTACAAGCGCACGCTGGAAGACGCGCTGCTGAGGGCATTCCCAACTGACAACGGGGGATCAGTGGAAGCACAAGGCGAAGGCAGAGGAGGAGGAAGAGGTCGCCAATGCAGCTGGGGCACCGCCAGAACCTCAGAAGGCAGGGTTACTTGGCCAAAATGTGGAAAAGCTTTCTCACACACCACAACAACCACCACCATCATCTGATATGGAACGTCTTAGCAAGAGGCAGCATTTCAGCAACATGGTGGAATAGTACGTGTGCACACGCCTACACATACTGACTGATGGGTCTGCCCCATTCAACTTCTGGGTCTGCAAATTGGGCACATGGCCTGAGCTTGCCCATTATGCCCTGGAGGTGCTGGCCTGCCCTGCAGCCAGTGTATTGTCTGAACGTGTGTTTACCATGGCAGAGGGCGTTATCACAGACAGGCGCAGCCACCTGGCCACAGCCAACGTGGACAAGCTCACGTTTTAATAAAATGAACCAGGCATGGATCCCACCAGACTTGTTTGTACCTTGTGCAGAATAGACATTTATACCAGCCTCACCCAGCTATTGTTATACTCAAATGCACTTATTCTTTGTTTTCTTTTTTTATATATGTCCCAATATTTTGGGGGCTACCCCAATTAAAAAAATAAATAAATAAAAAACAGTGTTGGCTACCTCCTCCTCCTCCTCCTCCTCCTCCTCCACCGCCGCTTTCACCTACACCGCCACGGTCACCGCCTCCTCAACCTATGGGTCACTTAGTATAAACTATGTACACAATAACAGGAGCTTGTGAAGGCATTTTCTCCATGCATCAGGAGTTGAGCTCAGTTTGAACAATGAAAGAGAATACCCTGCACTCCAACCCTCTCTCAAATTGATAATTCTGGTAATCCTCCTGACAGCCATGCTTTAGATTTTGATTTGTGTTCTTCCAAAGCTAAAATCAAAGATTCCATCTAGTGCTATTTTATGGCTCATCTGTATTTTTAATTTTTAGGTATTTTATGTTATTTTAAGTGATTTCCCTATCCACACTTGCCCTACTCTTACCCCCATTCAACTTCCTTTTGCAACCCTCTAGTCCTTTCTATGACTATTTCAGAGGCATTTTAGAGGCATTTTTGTGCCCAAAAGTTCGGGTCTTTTTTTCAAAGTTCAGCCGAACCTGCCAGACCCGAACATCCAGGTGTCCGCTCAACTCTACTTTTTAAACATATTAACAGGTCACGTTACATTTTAACATAGGACTCACAAGCTTCACAAGTCTTGCATCCATTGAACAGTTTCTGCAAGATGTCAGAATAGCCTCCCAGATCTGCTGTTTGGATGTAAACTGCCTCCTACCCTCATAGATCTTTTGCTTGAGGATGCTCCAAAGGTTCTCAATAGGATTGAGGTCAGCAACCATTGATGCAAAGGTATTCTTTGCAGCATGAGATGGTGCATTGTCATGCATGAAGATGATTTCGGTAAGCGTAGTTCTTCCTTCTGTACCAGGGAAAAAAGTGGTCAGTCAGAAACTCCACATACTTTGCAGAGGTCATCTTTACACCTTTGAGGACCTCATAATTAATCTAATTATCACAGGTGTCCGGGATTGTTTTCAGTGATCAAAAGAGCCCTGAGACACAATGCCATCCATGAGTTAAACTGAAAAACAAACTATTTAATCTTTGTGACACTTAAAAAGAATTTGCATAATAATTTGGAACAGGGTGTATATTAACTAAGTATGTATAGATATAGATATATATATATATATATATATATATATATACACACACATACATACACACACATATTTTAATATTAATTTATATATAATTATACATATATATTAATATCAAAATATAGGTGTTACAAACTGCCGTTTGTAACTCAGATTTTATGTGACAAATTGCCCTGTGTCCTTGGCTTATGGAGAAGCCTTATTGCCAGCCTCCTCCCTCATGACTATGGCCCCTATCATCAGCCCATGCTAAACCTAAACCCCATGGTGATTTGACGGTGTTTGTGGGTTCTGAGCGCTGTTTGGATATATTGAGCGCTCAGATCCATTTCATCTGGGGATAGGTTGAATGTGGTGGTTCTGTTCAGTATGATAGGCGTTATGTATTTTTGTGTATTTTTGCTGTTGTTGTGAATAGAGATATTTTCTGTACCTGGAGATAGTTGGCTTACCACACCCAGTTAAGCCAATTATCTCCAGGATAGAGGACTCTGTAGAACTGGTTTGGGCTGGAAAAGCCATGCTTGCAGTCATTCAAAAAGGACGTCCATCTGGGGCGGAGCCTGACTTCCGAGCGGGAAAGATGCATAGCACACCAGCTAGTGATCAAAACGATTTATTTGGGAACAAATCCCCCAAAATTGGACCTAATAACGTCAGAGAAGGCAGGATGCATGCAGAGGGAACCCGGGGGTACCCAACGACCCCAAAAACAAAATATACATCTGTAACGGCTACCCAGTTAATAAGAGGGTATCAGCCGTTGGAGACGTCCTTTTTCCTGGCAAGTCGCTGTGTAGTAGTGGAGTCGCTTATTCCCATTCACTAGATCTAAGTAAAGAGTCAAGCAGAGCTCTTAAAAGAGCCAGGTGATTATGCTGCATATCCCCTTCCAAGAACGAGACAAGGCTACATTTTGAAGGGTCAAGAAGAACTGAATTTTAATGGCAGATACTCTCCTTTTATGTGATGCTGCCCATGCAAGGGAGCCACCCACACAATTAGCACAGTAACCAATAAAACATAAGGTACAACCCACACATCTCCTCCCCTCAGATAAGCCTGTAACACAATTAACAAAGATAAATTTTTCCCCGAGTTTTGGATGTACCCCAAATATATGGGGTACATTAATAAATGTCCCCAAATAGCCCTACCTGGGGGATTTAAAAATCAGGAAAACAAGAGAGAGGTTGGCGCACACAATGGATAGTTATTCAACAATCTGTAATAAATATAACAGAACCTTCATAGGGCAACATATATGCGGAAATATTCAAATATATGTATAACAGGAAAAACTCACAATTTAGAGTGTCATATAAGTCGGCTCTCTACTATAATAGCAGATAACGATAAAAAAACAATAAAAAACACATGTGAATCATTACAAACACCCTTCCCAACTTGTCCATATACTTTTCATGATGTCCAGTGGGGGCCGACCTTTTCATGATGATTTATTAATAGTGGATGCATACTTTTAAAGTTATAAGAATTGTGTAAAAACTTTATATTTTCTGCCTGTGCTAATTAAGTTAGTCTATTGTCTTGAGATAATTGTATCACAGGCAGAGGGGAGGATTTCTGCTGGGAGTGGTTTACTTTATTGTATGTGTTGTAATGTTTTTATTGGTTGTTCTGAAAAACCCTGTGGGCGGTCCTGTATGTGTAAGACCTCCATAAAAGAAGGCCCTTTGGTGCCAAATAAAACAGTTCTTCTTCACCTTCAATCTTGAGTCCTGTCTCTTACTGGGGAAATTGCTATATCACTACAAGAGATTGCTATGCTCTGCATGCTCCCTTGGATAATCACTTCTAAGCTCTTTTAAGAGCTTGATCCTGTTTCCCTCTCTTGGAAGAGAGGTTCACCCACTGGAGCCTGGAGCCTTGTACCAGGTCCAGGGTTGGTAGGAGACAGCGAGACCCCAACCAAGCTACTGCGGTTTGTGGGGTCTGTGGTGGTTGTGGTGTCTGGTGGAGTGCTTGGAGCCCTCTGGAAGTGCTAGGAGCATCCAGTAACGGAGGTACCCAGTCGGGGTGCCGGGCGGTCCGCTACATTGGTGGCAGCGGCGGGATGATCCTATCTTCCCAGAGGAGGTGCTACATCTATGGAGTATGAGAAACTGAAATGGCCAACATTGAAGTATCTGCTGGAGAGCCGTGGGCGTTCAGCTAGCAACAGACCGAGATGGGAATTAATAGCTGAACTGGTCGAAATGTACCAAAACAACATCATGGCTAACGCTAAGTCACCAAACGGAGAAGAGGACAAGATCCAGAGAATTGTGCAAAGGAGGCTGACACTCTACGGGCCAAATCCACAGGTAGAACTGGTAACCCAGCTTCTCCACGCAGCGATGGAGGAGGCGAAGGAAAAAAGAGCCTACCACCTACAGGTACTGACCGTACAGAGACCAGAGAGCCCAACAGTACTACCGATAGGAACCCTCAGTGAGCGGAAAAAGCTACCATTTGCTGCATTTAAAGCATACCAAGAGACTGATGGAGAGAGAGATGGATATTTGACTGATTTTGAAAGGCAATGCGCGCTCCATCAGGTGCCGCCCGAGGAATGGGTTACAATTTTGTCAGGCAAACTGTCAGGAAAAGCCAACGAAGCTTTTCGTGCCATTCCAACCGAGGATGTTACAAACTATGCTACAGTAAAGGAAGCGCTACTGTTCTGGTATGCTGTAACCCCCGAAGCATACCGGCGACGGTTTAGGGAATCTAAATGGAAAGGAGGAGATTGTATGGATGGATGGAGGAGTCCTGTGGGACTGTATGTTACACAGGACCGCATCTCATTGGGTACAGGGTTGCCAAGCCACCACTGGAGAAGAAGTTTTGCAACTGTTCCTACTCGAACATTTTATAGGAGCACTTCAATCGGGCCTGAAGGAATGGATCCAGGATTGGTGACCACTCACCCTACAGGACGCAGCGCACCTAGCAGATGAGTATACTGATACCCGACAGCCAGAACCTACCACTGTACGTCCACGTCCTGAGCTGACCATGACAAAACCACCCCCTAGGACAGAGTTCCGTGCTCCGGTCCCTCCAGGCCCAGCCCGCTACTCCGGGCCCCCCAGGTTCCAGTCGAATCAATCCTGAGTACGGTGCCATGGATGCCAATAGCTGGGGCACATCAGGAGCAACTGCCCTATGGAACCCCCCAGGACCACCTGGGGACGACCCTACAACCGACCGCAACCTACACCAGCTGCTCACTGTTTGGAAACTGCAGCCAAGACTGAGGGGTCCTACACGAGGCCAACCCCATCCAAGCCGCCACTCAGGATAACAGGCAACAGCACTGCCAAGAGGTACTGGTCAATAG